CACCATTTTTATGGCTGTTGGAAAGATGACGCGTTGAACCGCTGATCATGGCGATAGAACCTGACGTCATAACAGATGAGGAATTCGCCGGCCACACAGAGCAAGACGCATTAACTCAACAGGAGAGGGCCTTCTTCCACAGTTTACAGAGAAGATAACAAGATAGGGCAATTCCAAACAACTTAATCTTTGCCGTTTAAGTGACGGTTTACCAGATTTACAAAAAGTATCAGTACAAGGAAAGAAATTATATTTACAAAGCAGTCGTGGAAGGCCGTATCCGACTTCACCAGCGACGTGAGATGTGCACTGCAAGATGTGCATCTCCCCCACTGCACGACGATCTGTTACTGTTCCACGTGTATCGGCAGTTCGGGGTCCTGCTGTCTGTGTTGTTGTACAACTGAAGTACATTCCAATAGCTCATCTCCGTTTCTGGTTCCGCCGACCTCTCATCTTAACCGACAACACAACGCAGGGTCATTCCACTCGCACATCAACACACATCATACGCCGCACCGCACCGCGCGGCATACCGCATCTTACAAATTGCACCGCACCGCACCGCACCGCACCGCACCGCACCGCACCGCGCGGCATACCGCATCTTACAACACGCACCGCACCGCACCGCACCGCACCGCACCGCACCGCACCGCACCGCACCGCACCGCGCGGCATACCGCATCTTACAACACACACCACACCACACTGCACCGCACCGCACCGCACAGCAAAGCACCGCGCGGCATACCGCTTCTTACAACACACACCGCACCGCACCGCACCGCACCGCACCGCACCGCACCGCACCGCACCGCGCGGCATTCTTCATCTTACAACACACACCGCACCGCACCGCACCGCACCGCACCGCACCGCACCGCACCGCACCGCACCGCACCGCATGGCACGCACCACGTTTTACACAACACAACACCACACACCGCACTGCACCGCTTCGCACGTACCCCATCTTAAACAACAACACAAACCGCACGGCACCGCATTGTATACATACCGCTTCTTATAAAACACCACGCACCGCACCGCACCGCACCGCACCGCACCGCACCGCACCGCACCGCACCGCACCGCACGTACCCATCTTACACAACACACCGGACTGCACCATATCGCACATACCGCATCGCGACTCACCACACCTTCACAATTCACACATCCAACTCCGCACATCTCCACCTGCCGCGCCGCACATGTTCACAATTCACACATACCCGCACCGCGCCGCACCACACCTTCACAATTCACACATACCCGCACCGCGCCGCACACCTTCACAATTCACACATCCAACACCGCACATCTCCACCTGCCGCGCCGCACACGTTCACAATTTACACATACCCGCACCGCGCCGCACCACACCTTCACAATTCACACATACCCGCACCGCGCCGCACCACACCTTCACAATTCACACATACCCGCACCGCGCCGCACCACACCTTCACAATTCACACATACCCGCACCGCGCCGCACCACACCTTCACAATTCACACATACCCGCACCGCGCCGCACCACACCTTCACAATTCACACATACCCGCACCGCGCCGCACCACACCTTCACAATTCACACATACCCGCACCGCGCCGCACCACACCTTCACAATTCACACATCCAACACAGCAAATCTCCACCTGCCGCGTCGCACCACACCTTCACAATTCACACATCCAACACCGCAAATCTCCACCTGCCGCGCCGTACACGTTCACAATTCACACATACCCGCACCGCGCCGCGCCGCACCACACCTACACAATTCACACATCAAACACCGCGCCGCACACGTTCACAATTCACACATCCAACACCGCACATCTCCACCTGCCGCGCCGCACCACACCTTCACAATTCACACATCCAACACCGCAAATCTCCACGTGCCGCGCCGCACACGTTCACAATTCACACATACCCGCACCGCGCCGCACCGCGCCGCACTGCTCCGCACCACACCACCCACCAAGCTACAACCTAACCAAACACATCACCACGCATCCTAACATGAAAATCCACGCATCGCAGCCCCTACCCTCCCCTACTCTCGATCGCCGGCCCCCACCGGGGTCCCGAGATCCCCACGAGACCACCCCCTCTTCAAACTGGCATCTCCCCAGTCTCGAGCCCGTCCCCCAGAGGGAGCCAAGAATTCCAGGCACGGTTTGGCAAGAGGCGACTGCCAGCGCGTACATCTCTTAACATTTCCAACATTTCTGCGGAGACAAGATAAGCAGTTATCCCAATTATTTTATCAAAGTTTAAATTCTTTTCTAGCGATGTGGCGTTAAACTTTAAAGGACACCCCGCCCACCCTCGCAACACGACCCCACGGGATGTTCGCAACCCGGGGCCCTCGTTCAGTGGTGAGGGGCGGTCCGCTGTGGCTTCTACTCTGTGAGAAGCAGCAGCTATGCCAGGCGCGGGAACACGACACTATCATCCGCGGAATGGAGCGTGCGCTGCGTGCCAGGTGCGCGTGTGTCAACGTGACATGCAGTAACGTGACCAGTTCCGTAATTGATCATAACTCCTTTACTTACAGCCAGAACAAACTTAACTTGTTCGATTATTTTACACATGTATATCTGACACCCTACGCGAGTTGTTTGTGTGAAAATTAACTGTTAGACGAAATATCATGCAGGTCTCAATCATGAAGTCTCGATATGGATCCATCACTTCTCCCTGTCCCTTTGTGTGTTTGTGCTACTGACAACGTGACCGTACTCTCTCACTACCACTACAACAACAGACCACACAAATACTTCTTGTTTTTCATCATTTTAACAAATCGATGTTTTTTTCTGTTCCAACTTAAATTCACAATTGTTCTTTTCCCAAGTCCTCATAGCCTTCCCTGGTTTGCAAAATCACCCGCGGAATGATAGGACGTCGGGTCAGGTTACATTAAAAAGTACAACTTCAGAATGAAAAAATGTTTCGGAACGTGAACCGAATTTAACATGGGAACATTTTTTTTAAACTTTGGTGTTGGGTCGATTTTTAGGACCAGTCGGTGATAAGAAACAAAATAAATTAACTGGCCTTATCTATGTAGAAATATTTTTTGTTAAATATTCATGTACATAACATTTACTGATTGCCCATCACAAGTATTTGACAGCAACGCAACAACGCCCTGAAGAAGACAGCAAGTTAAGCCTCGTTTTTCTCTGGGAGGCGTCTGTACTTCATGACGTTGAGCAAGACTTTACTCCATGAATATAAAGAGTTATCGATCACAATAAACAGCTTCAAACCATCTCTTGACATACTGAATGAGTGTCTGGCACTTTCTATCAGAAAGGTCAGTGCTCTATGTAATACTTTGCTGGCCGAACCTGGAAATGTCATTCGGCTAAGATTACCAACTGTGGATATATTTACCCAGTAATAATCTGTTCTGTGTCGTCAGCTATTAGTGGAGTATGTAGGGGAACGTGTATACTAGCGCTGGCATTTAGTGGAAATGACATAATACTCTCTGGTTGCCGCCTATAGCTCGGACAGAAGGTGACTCCCGACATGGAACTTATCCATAAGTAGCACTGCGGGCAGACGCATTCTTGGCAATTTCTGATAGACAAGTTCTGTCTTGTTACAGGTGATTCTGAAGCTAGCTGCGATTATCCTAGGGTATTTGTGACAGAATAGGTCCCCGGTGTCCTAGACTTGTCTCTCCATTGGGGTTCCAGGACAGAACAGATCCCAAGGGTCCTAGACTTGTCTCTCAATGTAGATTCTGGTACAGAACAGGTCCCCAGGGTGCTAGACTTGTCTCTCCATGGGGGTTCCAGGACAGAACAGGTCCCCAGGGTCCTAGACTTGTCTCTCCATGGGGGTTCCAGGACAGAACAGGTCCCCAGGGTCCTAGACTTGTCTCTCCATTGGGGTTCCAGGACAGAACAGATCCCAAGGGTCCTAGACTTGTCTCTCAATGTAGATTCTGGTACAGAACAGGCCCCCAGGGTCCTAGACTTGTCTCTCAATGGGGGTTCCAGGACAGAACAGGCCCCCAGGGTCCTAGACTTGTCTCTCCATGTAGATTCTGGTACAGAAAAAGGTCCCCAGCGTCCTAGACTTGTCTCTCCATGTAGATTCTGGTACAGAAAATGTCCCCAGTGTCTCAGACGTGTCTGTCCATGGGGGTTCCAGGACCGAACAGGCCCCCGGTGCCCTAGACTTGTCTCTCCATAGGGGTTCCGGTACAGAAGAGGTCCGCAGTGACTTAGACGTGTCTGTCCATGGGGGTTCCAGGAGAGAACAGATCCCCAGGGTCCTAGACTTGTCTCTCCATGTAGATTCTGGTACAGAAAATGTCCCCAGTGTCTCAGACGTGTCTGTCCATGGGGGTTCCAGGACCGAACAGGCCCCCGGTGCCCTAGACTTGTCTCTCTATAGGGGTTCCGGTACAGAAGAGGTCCGCAGTGACTTAGACGTGTCTGTCCATGGGGGTTCCAGGACAGAACAGATCCCCAGGGTCCTAGACTTGTCTCTGCATGTAGATTCTGGTACAGAAAATGTCCCCAGTGTCTTAGACGTGTCTGTCCATGGGGGTTCCAGTACAGAATAGGTCCCCAGGGCCCTAGACGTGTCTCTCCATGTAGAATCCGGTACAGAATTAGGTCCCCACAGTCCTAGACGTGTCTGTCCATAGGGGCTCCAATACAGAACAGGTCCCCAGGGTGCTAGACTTGTCTCTCCATGGGGGTTCCGTACAGAACAGATCCCAAGTGTCCTAGACGTGTCTCTCCATGGGGGTTCCGGTACAGAACAGGTCCTTAATCTTGTCTTATTATGATCCTTGGTATGCAGCACCATGACCATGCGATCGGAATCACTTTGGGCTGGTGCGTCTCCTCGTGAACATAGTGTTGTGTTGTGCTGACGAAAATATGTAGCTGAACATTGTGTTGTGTTGTGTTGATGACAATATGTAGCTGAACATTGTGTTGTATTTTCTTCAAGGTCTTACCAGTGACAAGACGGCGTTCTACAAGAGTTCGAAAACCGTCATCTCCTACAACAAAGACGGGGACGTTTGGATCATCGACGTGGGCGTGGCAGACGTCCCCAATGGGCGACAGTTTAGGTTCAAGATGGGGGAACCTTACGAATCCGCCAACCTTGACGGAACGCCCATGAAGGTAGATACGTGCTTTATAACAGATGACGTCATCTTGGAGTAGGAGTATACGACGTTATCTTTAAATCGACGTCCGTGACGTCATGTTGAAATAGAGGTATGACCTCATCTCAGTTTAAAGCTGAATGGCGTTTTCTTGGCACCGAAATAATTATCTGCTGCAATGCCCGGTATAGATATGCTGGCGTGATCTAGATATAGAAATATATAACGTGATATTGACGTTATGAGTGAGTGAGTGAGTATGGTTCTACGCCGCTTTTAGCAATATTCCAGCAATATCACGGCGGAGGACACCAGAAATGGGCTTCACACATTGTACCCATGTCGGGAATCGAACCCGGGTCTTCAGCGTGACAAGCGAACGCTTAAACCACTAGGCTACCCGACCGCCCCTATTGACGTTACGGGAAGTATATAAATGACACAACGAAGCCCTAAACCTTTGCCTCATCCCCATCCCAGTGAAGGAAGTGTATGCATGTGTCTAAAACTCGAGAACACGCTGTGCATACTAGCATACTGATCAGGTGTAGAATTTATAACGCGATCCGGCTTGGACGGACGGGACGTTATTCCGACATTGCCAACGATTTCTGAGCATAAAAATACATGACCTAATCTTAAATTTTGCAAACGCCCTGACTAGTCATCACATCTGACTTTCCTCCCGCATTTGCTGACACGCCATCTTACTGAAATACTACCTAAAGTGGCGTTAAACTCACTCTCACTCACTCACTTGACACAGAAATGTTACGGGATTGCGACATAGAGCTAGATGGTGCTTTCTAGGCTTAGATCTACATATCATAATTTATGTGTGGTTGTATAATGACGTTATTATATAGATAGGTATATTTAATGATCTATGTGAAGTTTTAAAGCATGCATTTAAATGTACATGCAGTGTTTTCACAGGTTCGTGAGCGGGAGGCACAGGACACACACGCTGCCATATTTCAAGTTTTACTGAAACTTACTTTTTCTGCTTTTGAAAATGAAAGCTTGAAGTAATTGAGACGGGATCGCCTCGGTTACAATCTAAGCACAAATGCTCACCTTGAATCTGTGGTAATTAGCCAGCGACCTGGGTGGGGTGTCTAACTCTTAACTTTACAGTTTTAAATAGGGGCTCGAAAAACCGTGGATGGGCAGATGCCAGCTTGTTAATAGACCGATCTGGAAGCGCTCTGGCTGTCTTGTGGCATACTGTACATAGGGAGGGTAGGCTCAGCACAGATACGATACGGCTGTTGCATTGTACAAAGTTCTCTACCAAAATCGTAATCTTTATAGAGGTTTCAAAGACATCGCAACTGACCTTTAAAATAATAGTAGAGATTTTTAGCTCACCTAGAACGAAAGAGGATGAGAAATGAAGCCATGACCGGTCGTCAGTTGGCAGCATAGTCTCGCAAAACAACATGTCCGTCTCGGCAGCCATATTGAAAATGCCACTCGTGGCCATTACTCTGTCATTGTTTGCAGACAATATGATATATTGGTAGTGTTAGCGCCGTAGGGTCGTTCTTAGCTTGGTCAGCTTGGTATGGGAGGAAAGGCTGAAGTGATACAGGTCTTAGACGTTTACCTCGTTGGTGAAACTCACGAGCACGGGTACATAACTTTAATATCAGGTAAACTGTTGTCCAAAATATTTGAACGAAGTACCCTGTACTAAGTTGGCGCTCGTTTGTTTCAGAGCGTGATCAATGCGCAAGACGGGAGGTTCCTGGAGACCCACAAGATAGCAGAGATGGAGAACGAGATGCAGATCATGAGACAGTTACAAGACTCCGGGAAGATGCTTGTCGTAAGTACTCCTCGTAACGTGGTACTCACATGGACATATACAAGATTAGGGATCATTGCTTATTATGGGGTCTGTCGACAACGGCGCCGCATTTCGCTGTGGTAGAGTCATCAATTAGGCGTTCCAGAAACCTATGATCATTGGTTCGAATTTCGGTTCGTCCTGATTATGTTTCTAGCTTTGTAAGAGCCTAGAATGGTAAATGATAAACGTCTAAGACCTGCATCACTTCCGGTTTGCCCTCAATACGAAGTTGACATGCCGGGAAAATACTGAATTACTGTTCAAAGCAGAGTTAAACTAAACTCAGTTGTACTTGAGGTTAAAGTTAGATGTTAGTGTCATCAACAAAAGACCCATCCCAGCAGATCATCTTTTTCTTTTCTTTTTTCTTTTTTTTTTTCTTCTTTTTTTTAAACTTATAGAATTTATTACATTTTTTGGCATTTACAGGTACTTTGATTTGGAATGCATTGCGATTATCAAATGCTGAAAATAGTAACCCTGTGTCATTTTACTAGGGAAAACCCAAGTTTGACCTCATTGGACAAGACGATGAATAAGGTAGTAGTGTTAGAATACGTAACTCCGCATCAACATTCTCAAATGTCTCAAGAGGCTGTAGAAAACCAAATCAGCTGGTCAATTCAATGGCTTAGAAAACTAATTTTTACCTCCGTTGTGAAACCTGAAGGCTCATTGAGTCTGTTCTGGACTACTAGCAAATGAACTTGCATCTCAATTTCTAACCAAGAAAGAAGAATCAGATCATCTTTAGTTAGTGAGTTGGGTTAAACGCCGCTTTGAAAACTATTCCAGTTATATCACGGCGTGACAGCTTAATGTGGGAGGAAAACCCGAAGTGATGTAGGCCTTCTTAGGTGTTAACCACTTTGGTGAAACCCACGAGCAAAGCTATGGTGCTGACAAATCTAGAAACCTAGGTTTCAGGCGTGCCCAAGGGACGCAACCCTGCAGAGCGAATTTCGGCGACTTGATCGACTGTGCCACCTAGAGTGAGTGAGTGAGATGGGTTTAACGCCGCCTCTAACAGTATTCCAGTTATATCACGGCATGTCAGCTCAATGTGGGAGAAAAGCCCGAAGTGATGCAGGTCTCGGACCTTTACCACTTCGATGAAGCCCACGAGCACGGGTATGGTGCTGTCACACCTAGATTCATAATTGGGGCTAACCGTGATTCGAACCCACAATCATAAGCTTCTGGCCCAAGGGACGCAACTCTGCACAGCGAATCGCGGCGCCTCAGACGACTGGGCCACCCGTGCCCACGTGTAACCAAGAGCGTACATATGATCATAATCAATGATCTAAGACGGTGGAAACCGTATGTAGTTTTCGTAAATGTATGCCATGAATACCGAGCGCATGTTGAGTGCGTGCGTGCGTGCGTGCGTGCGTGCGTGCGTGCGTGTGTTGATAATCACCTCGTTATCTTCTCTTGCAGACGACTACTTACAAGGGGAATGTGATGACGTCAACGTACGTGCGTGTTTGATGGACTCAACTTGTGCTCAACTGCAACAAATGCTGACGCAGTGTAAACACGAATCTATGACGTAGTGCGCAGAAAAGATTTGAACGTTCCATACTTTGCACACAGTGACTTTCTGGGCGCCGCGTGACGGCTGAACATTGCTGGATAAACGTTTCTCATTACCGTGTGACATTTCGCGGGGTCTACGTGGATTGTCTCCCTTTACAGGAAGTGACGATCCCTAGCGGTGAAACGATCTGAGGGAGAGAACCCACTTAGCAGGTGTACACGACCGGCCCGTCATTGGACATGGGGATGAATGCTTCTTCATCCTGGTGTCGACGTCCGCACAGCGCAGTCTGTGTCGTCCTCGTCATCATCGTCGTTGTCGTTGTTGTTGATGTTGTTTTGTTTACGCTACAGCGTTCTGTCTTATCGTGTGCGTGGGCTATGGCGGACCCCTTTGTTGCCATGGTAACGTGGACATGGAACTTATGTCAAGCACCTGTTCCAAGTAAAATGCTAATAAACTCGTCGGTCTTTACTCGTCAACCTTGTTGTGTCTCTTTCTTGATTTTCACTGAAATAAATCCCAAATCATACTTGAAAATACTGTAGCAGGGCGTGGAGTCATCCCACAGATGACATCCTTACCTTGTCATATTGCTGACGGGGTTAACCTCTTTGGTCATGTGGACAAGGCGTCCGAACTCGGATCAGAAGGTCCGTGGTTCGAATCCCATCACGGGACTCGGACATTTTATGGCCGCAACATTGGCGCCCAACGTGGGGCTGAGCACGTTCATATTAAATTTGAGCAAAATAAGCCTCAGTACCCTACTATGCGGCCCGGGACGTGCCTTCCGTTGACGGGGGAGTATGTAGCAGGGCGGGGAGTCATCCCACAGATGACATCCTTACCTTGTCAGATTGCTGACGGGGTTAACCTCTTTGGCCATGTTGACAAGGCGTCCGAACTTGGATCAGAAGGTCCGTGGTTCGAATCCCATCACGGGACTGGGACATTTTATGGCCGCTACAATAACATGGATTTGGAGTGACTGGTTATATGAAGAGTCTGCGGGGAGCTCTTGTGTGGTCTAGCATAGTCTGGCATAGTCTCCGTTTTCTGGCAATCTCCGTAGTCTCAAATAGTGTCCGTGGTCTGGCACAGTCTCCCTGGTCAGATATAGTCTCCGTAGTCTGGCATAGTCTCCCTGGTCAGATATAGTCTCTGTAGTCTGGCATAGTTTACCTGGTAAGATATAGTCTCCGTAGTCTGGCATAGCCTACCTGGTAAGATATAGTCTCCGTAGTCTGGCATAGTTTACCTGGTAAGATATAGTCTCCGTAGTCTGGCATAGTCTACCTGGTCAGATATAGTCTCTGTAGTCTGGCATAGCCTACCTGGTCAGATATAGTCTCTGTAGTCTGGCATAGTTTACCTGGTAAGATATAGTCTCCGTAGTCTGGCATAGCCTACCTGGTAAGATATAGTCTCCGTAGTCTGGCATAGCCTACCTGGTCAGATATAGTCTCCGTAGTCTGGCATAGCCTACCTGGTCAGATATAGTCTCTGTAGTCTGGCATAGCCTACCTGGTAAGATATAGTCTCCGTAGTCTGCCATAGTCTACCTGGTAAGATATAGTCTCCGTGGGCTGGCATAATTTACCTGGTAAGATATAGTCTCCGTAGTCTGGCATAGTCTACCTGGTAAGATATAGTCTCCGTCGTCTGGCATAGTGTACCTGGTAAGATATAGTCTCTGTAGTCTGGCATAGTTTACCTGGTAAGATATAGTCTCTGTAGTCTGGCATAGTTTACCTGGTAAGATATAGTCTCCGTAGTCTGGCATAGTTTACCTAATCAGATATAGTCTCCGTAGTCTGGCATAGTTTACCTGGTAAGATATAGTCTCCGTAGTCTGGCATAGCCTACCTGGTAAGATATAGTCTCCGTAGTCTGGCATAGTTTACCTGGTAAGATATAGTCTCCGTAGTCTGGCATAGCCTACCTGGTCAGATATAGTCTCTGTAGTCTGGCATAGCCTACCTGGTCAGATATAGTCTCTGTAGTCTGGCATAGTTTACCTGGTAAGATATAGTCTCCGTAGTCTGGCATAGTGTACCTGGTAAGATATAGTCTCTGTAGTCTGGCATAGTTTACCTGGTAAGATATAGTCTCTGTAGTCTGGCATAGTTTACCTGGTAAGATATAGTCTCCGTAGTCTTGCATAGTTTACCTAATCAGATATAGTCTCCGTAGTCTGGCATAGTTTACCTGGTAAGATATAGTCTCCGTAGTCTGGCATAGTCTACCTGGTAAGATATAGTTTCCGTAGTCTGGCATAGTCTACCTGGTAAGATATAGTCTCCGTAGTCTGGCATAGTTTACCTGGTCAGATATAGTCTCCGTAGTCTGGCATAGTCTACCTGGTCAGATATAGTCTCCGTAGTCTGGCATAGTTTACCTGGTAAGATATAGTCTCCGGAGTCTTCCATGGTTTACCTGGTAAGATATAGTTTCCGTAGGCTGGCATAGCCTACCTGGTAAGATATAGTTTCCGTGGGCTGGCATAGCCTACCTGGTAAGATATAGTTTCCGTAGTCTGGCATAGTCTACCTGGTAAGATATAGTCTCCGTAGTCTGGCATAGTTTACCTGGTCAGATATAGTCTCCGTAGTCTGGCATAGTCTACCTGGTCAGATATAGTCTCCGTAGTCTGTCATAGTCTACCTGGTAAGATATGGTCTCCGTCGTCTGGCATAGTGTACCTGGTAAGATATAGTCTCCGTAGTCTGGCATAGTTTACCTGGTAAGATATAGTCTCCGTAGTCTGGCATAGTTTACCTGATCAGATATAGTCTCCGTAGTCTGGCATAGTTTACCTGGTAAGATATAGTCTCCGTAGGCTGGCATAGTCTACCTGGTCAGATATAGTCTCCGTAGTCTGGCATAGTTTACCTGGTAAGATATAGTCTCCGTAGTCTTCCATAGTTTACCTGGTAAGATATAGTTTCCGTAGGCTGGCATAGCCTACCTGGTAAGATATAGTCTCTGTAGTCTGGCATAGTCTACCTGGTCAGATATAGTCTCCGTAGTCTGGCATAGTCTACCTGGTAAGATATAGTCTCCGTAGTCTTCCATAGTTTACCTTGTAAGATATAGTTTCCGTAGGCTGGCATAGCCTACCTGGTAAGATATAGTTTCCGTAGGCTGGCATAGCCTACCTGGTAAGATATAGACTCCGTAGTCTGGCATAGTCTACCTGGTCAGATATAGTCTCCGTAGTCTGGCATAGTCTACCTGGTCAGATATAGTCTCTGTAGTCTGGCATAGTCTTCCTGGTCAGATATAGTCTCCGTAGTCTGGCATAGTCTACCTGGTCAGATATAGTCTCCGTAGTCTGGCATAGTCTTCCTGGTCAGATATAGTCTCCGTAGTCTGGCATAGTCTACCTGGTCAGATATAGTCTCCGTAGTCTGGCATAGTCTACCTGGTAAGATATAGTCTCCGTAGTCTTCCATAGTTTACCTGGTAAGATATAGTTTCCGTAGGCTGGCATAGCCTACCTGGTAAGATATAGTTTCCGTAGGCTGGCATAGCCTACCTGGTAAGATATAGTCTCCGTAGTCTGGCATAGTCTACCTGGTCAGATATAGTCTCCGTAGTCTGGCATAGTCTACCTGGTCAGATATAGTCTCCGTAGTCTGGCATAGTCTACCTGGTCAGATATAGTCTCCGTAGTCTGGCATAGTCTACCTGGTCAGATATAGTCTCCGTAGTCTGGCATAGCCTACCTGGTAAGATATAGTCTCCGTAGTCTGGCATAGTCTACCTGGTCAGATATAGTCTCCGTAGTCTGGCATAGTCTACCTGGTAAGATATAGTCTCCGTAGTCTGGCATAGTCTACCTGGTAAGATATAGTCTCCGTAGTCTGGCATAGTCTACCTGGTAAGATATAGTCTCCGTAGTCTGGCATAGTCTACCTGGTCAGATATAGTCTCCGTAGTCTGGCATAGTCTACCTGGTAAGATATGGTCTCCGTAGTCTGGCATAGTTTACCTGGTAAGATATAGTCTCCGTAGTCTTGCATAGTTTACCTGGTAAGATATAGTCTCCGTGGGCTGGCATAGTTTACCTGGTAAGATATAGTTTCCGTAGGCTGGCATAGTCTACCTGGTTGCATCCAAGTACAAGAAGAGACGACCCGTGAAGTTCCGGAAAGAGAATAAACATAGAGGACAGCAGAATACAAGTTGTAGCAGGACCACGAGGAGTACACGGGACTCGGGGTACATGCGTCCCTCGTTTGGTTTTTTACCACTCGCCTCTGGTTCGTAGTATGAAACCAAGCGGGACGCATAAAACCCCTGTAACCGAGTAATCCTGCTGCCACGAATTTATCTTGCTGACACAGGCGACTAACGGGATCGGGTGGTCAGGCTCGCTCATTTGGTTGATGCATGTCATCGTATCCCAATTGCGTGGATCGATGCCCATGATATCAATCACTGGATTGTCTTGTTCAGACTCTATTGTTTACAGATCGCCGTCATATAGCCGGTATATTGCCGAGTGCCGTGTTCAACAACAAACAAAAAACATTCTGGTATTATAAAGTATTTTATCAAGATCACGTGGACCAATCAGATTTCATCATTCTGTTATGGAGGTATCATTAAGTACTTTATTATTCCCGGTGTGAATGTGTTTGGCGCCGTTTAGAACAATATTAAGTTGTATCACAGTTTGCTAACTTAATGTTAGAGAGGAAAACCGGAAGTTACACAGATCATAGACTTTTTACTACGTCGGTGAAAACCATGAGATGGGCATGATGCTGACAGATCATGGATCGTCACTGGGACTCGAACACATTAGGGACCGACCATTTCATACTTGAGACCAGATATTTGTTCAGCAACAGCTTCAGAACCATATATTTTGTAAATTACACCCTCACCTCCACGAACGGACGCAATGACGCACGCACGCACGCACACCCACATACAAACATACACAGTAAATCAAAAGCTCAGCCCCAAACTAAATCAGATGTTGGCAGCTGAGGTGCCTTAGACCACTGGGCCACCTGTGTCCCCGACACCTGGTTGGTTGACTGGGGTTCAGTGAAATAGACAATGGGTGCAGTCTAGATGATCCTAGATAGATATGACGGTCGGACCAAGGACCATTGGCGAACTGAGACGCCATGTACCACTAGGCACCAGTACGCTTCCTATCCAGCTGGCTCATCTTCGTCCTCCACTCGACTGGACATTATATACAGTCGTGATCCTAGTGAACATTTAGTCTGATCCATAGATGCTCAGTTACAGAAAGCTGATAGCACATCAATAACCTGGATCCATTACATGTCTGCAGGAGGCAGCTGGGTTTATACATATAGATAGACATACTGTGAACTAATCCTTTCCATTATATAATCGTCCATCGGTTGTCAGCGAGGCTTAAACCTAAGCCACAACTGCGATACAATGTACAGTACAGAGTCCCCAAATACACACGCTATTATACTGGAGCTTG